AGTATTCAAACATATGCTATAATCTATAGAAAAGACTTGAGAATGGCCCATATGGCTGTCCCAGGTGACTCTGAAGTCCCAAATAGCCATGACTTTAAGACTTGGAATGACTGTTGGGTGATATTTTGAGAAGCATTTTGTAAGAGCCTAATTCTCACAGGTTTTTTTTCTTTTTTCTTTTTTTATGGGTATGAGAAAGTAGCCATGATATAAACCTCTGAATTAAAATAGCCAAGCTGCATTTTCTAGTCCTCTCTGTGATGCTCATCTAAAAGCACTGACAGAAATATTGAGTAGTCAAATGCATCACTTTTCTTTAAAATTGCAGTGGTTTGTGTCTTCTTCGGTGACCCACACAGTTCCTTTGTATATCAGGCATTTAGGGAATTGAATCTATAATGCCTTTGTTTATTGCCCCATGGTTTATGACAGTAGCTTTAATTCACTAATCTTTGCAAATTTTTCTCTGACAGTTTTTAGAAAATCCAACAAGTTGTGGTAGGAAATACATTCATTAACAAAAATGGAAATGTGCTGTGTTTTGCTACTCAGCATTCACTTCCAATTCCTTTTGATAAATGGACGCAGAATTATATTCAAATATTTAACCCTCATCTACACAGACCCATATCCTTGGGGAAGTACATCCAGCAGACAAGTCCAAGAAAAGGCTCAGGTTCCCTTGAACTAGTCAAGCCATCTCAAATTCCTGGCCATGATGGTTCATCTAAGTATGGATCAATTACCCAAACTGGGCCAATGAGATTTTAGATTTCCACCCCCCCCCCCCCCCCCACCCCCCACCCCCTGCCGCGGGACTGTAAGAGCGAACAGATGATATAAATCTCTAGCCTCTGTGACTCGCGACTCTGGAAGGAGTACCTGAATGGCAGAGGAAGTTTTCACAGGCGGAGGTGGGAGGAGCTGAGAGATCTGCCAGCGAAGGAAGCCTCGCTGGTGATGTGTGAATCCGGAGAAGTGCCACTTTGGTTTGGGGATTCTGTTCTGAGCAACCAGAAGCATCCTAACAAATATTGAGTCTCAAACAAATCCAAATATCGCATTGACAAAACGTTGACTTTTCACTTTCATTGATATCAACTCAGTTCTCTCCCCGCCCCCATCACCTCAGCTGAACACACTTTCCTTGTTTCATTCATAAGTATTTCCCAAGTAAGGTGTGATCTTCATGTCTCCATAACTTGTCTTCAAACTATTTACTCTGCCTAAGGGGCTGTTTTTCATCTCTCTTTTACTTCACCGTAAATATCTGCTCTCTTTTCAATCCCTGTCTTCCCTGTAAGCTTCATTGTTGCATTGTAGGTTGCATGGAAAAGCTTATTGTAACATTTACCTTCCGGTATTACATTATTTATTTATGTGCCTTCCTTTCTTAGATTTTTTTTTTTTTTTTGAGCCTAAAATTTAGTTTACAATCCCTAAACTCAACCACATCTCTAATTAGTACTTTATGAATCACTGAAGAAGTGAATGCACCTAGTTCTTAATCCTCAGCAAGTATGACGTTAGGTTGACCACTAGGTGATTCACATTTAGCAAGTAATTTTTACTTTTGGCTATGATGTTCAATAAAAATTCTGACTTATTCACCTTCTGTGAATTTAATTTTGATCTCCTTTCATAAGACACAGCACTTTTTCACTGACACATAATAGGATAAACACATTTTTTTTAAAAAAAGGAGAGAGACTTCCCAGAGAAATTTTAATGCTTAAAAAACAAACAAAAAAAAAGTGCAAGTATTTTGTCTACATGCATGAGCATCTCAAGACTTTAATTGTTTGTTACTCCAGGAAGACTGTGATGTATAAACATTTTACAAATCTGATCTCAAAAAATAATGATTTGAATAGTCTGTGCTTCAACGTAAAAATGAAACATTAATTTGTTCAGTTTCTCATACAACATGTTTATTAAACATTTCAGTGTCAATAATCTTTTTTAAAATCGTAACATTTAACCTTGTAATGGAGCTAATACCAATTCTATTCATGGGAGTATATTTTGGACTTTTGAACAGCTTTAAGTAAAATGAATGCCAGTGTCTTCAGGTTGTACTTGGAGCAAAGACAAAGAAACATCAACTCATTCTTTCCAACTAATAAAACATCTAATGATGCAATGTTTATGATGACATTATTTTAAAGCTATTGTACTGATTGATATATTTTTGCTTCTGTTACCAAACCTAATATATCATCTCTGAACATTAGCAATTTTCATGTAATTTAGATTTAAAATAATCGAATTTTTAACTTGGGCTCCAAGGAAAAATCCTGAAAATAAAGATCTGCATTTAGCATCTTTTTCCTGCTCTCAATCATAACTTTTCAATCTGAGATGATTTTTCATAGAATCAATTCAGGAAGCATAGCTTTTTAAGATAACTTTAAAAAAAAAGAAAAACTCACTTCTACATTAAAAAGGGAATTCAGAATCACTGAAGTTCTGAAGGAGCGTGTGCTTTGATTATTTCCACCAGTTTCTTTTTTTATTATAAAGTGGCAATTTATACTACCATTAGAAATATACATTTGTATATAAAGTTTTGCATTCAAATCTCTTTATTTTTGATTAGCTATGACTAAAGAACACAAGTCAAATAAAAACTCTATATATCCTTATTTCAGAGCATATGTATATATACACATATATATTTGTAGAACAATCCACTGTTTTAAATGTGATTCTGATTTAAAAAATGCTATTTACAATTTTATGACAGAGAAATAATCTCAGCCTTTTATGCTTTTAAAATGAGCAGGGAATTTTGATGTCTGAGTGTGTCTCACCTTGTTCAGACGAAATTAAGTAACATCATGGAAAAACCTTCTCAGAGCAAGGCCTTGTAGACTAAGCCATGAGGGTAGAATAGTAGATTTGCTATTTCTGAGTCTGTGTTTTAAAAAAATTACTATTGATGTAGTCATGCTTCTTCACCAAGAAATCAGTGGTCTCATATTAAGACCTTCAAACTTTGTAATACACAATAAGCCATCTTCATCCTCCAATTTCCCCTTAATGCTCTCATCTCTTGCTGGTGGCGCCACAGGACCACCATCCATAGATATAATACCTATCTAGAGCAGTGTCATTTTCCTAAATTGAAGAATTCTTCTAAAAAGTTATCTGTATTAAAATGAGGCCCATAAAGCATCACAATTTACATCAAATTGATGTCTTTTTATTGCGCCAATCCATAGCGGCTAAAAATGTGCTATGAAATTCATGTGTAAAATTCGAAACCCAAACTATTACTGTGATCAAGAACAGGTTGGCTGGCTGTCCTCCAGTTTCCTGAAACACAAAAGGCTCTAAATTAGCAAATGGAACTTCAGCACCATTTTGTTTCTGTACCTCAAACTTCTAGCTTAAAAATAAGTGAAGTGTATTGACCAGAAAACTACTTGGAGATTCTCAAAAGTTTTGTTTTCATTCTTAAGCCCATTGATTTTGAAACATGTTACAATAAGGACTCTTAGAATAAATACATCTTAACTTATACGTACATAGTCAATAACAAAGCTTTACTAAAAGTTGTATTTTTCCTGAGAATATCCCAATGCATTAAAAGAAGTGCTTATTTTATTTATGGGAACATAAGAGATGGATGAATTGAGACCCAGAAATTAGAATGATGAAAATCAAAGTAAAGAATTCTTTCTCTTGGAAGAAACCTGAAAAACAAACTATTTAACTGGCTCATGTTTTTAGAGGAAATAGGATAACTATATGTTTATATTTGGTAATTGTTTGAAAACCTAAACAGTGAATACTGACTTTCTCTAGTAAAGGTTTTATGTACTTAAAAAGTAAGCAGCAGTTAAGGAAATGTTCACCCTATGCGCTAAACTACAGTTTTTGTCAGGTTAATATATAAAAAAAATAGGAGGTTTCCAATTTATACTTCAAAACTAATTGTAAATAAGGCAAAGCTAATTTCTAAACATTTTACTGTGGTCAACATTTGCTTCAATGATATAAAAAAAAAACAATATAGAAAGTGGGTGGTGAGACTTCTGTTTCTTAATTTCTATCAGGAAAAAGACAAATATGAGTCTCAGTGATAAATGATGGACAGCCATTGATAACTGAGGGGAAAATGGTGTTGGGAGTTTATATCTCTATCACATTTTTCATAATATTTAACTGGATTAAATATATTATCATGAAGTCATTAGTGTAATTAATAACACTTTGTGAAACAGTCAATTATATTACCGATGAGTTTGTGGGGTGTGTGTATCACCATAAGATCTTGTCATTTCATGGTAAATGAGCCCGTGACCCATTTTGTAGAAGCCTCTTTCTTTTTATTTTTCAAAGAAAACAAGGCTTTGTGCTTGGGATTGGTTTGTTCCTAGAAGTGACAGGTGTATTCAAAATCAAGTTGAATCAAGAGTGACAAGGAGAAATACAACCAGATTTGTAATTTTTTTTACAAGGGTATTCTTTTCCTAGAAGAGCAACATTCCTTTTTTTTTCCCCCTTTTAATGTAATGCTTTCAAAATATTTTGGTTAAACAAATATCTTTTGCAAATGTGTGTTCAAAATCCTTGTCTAGATGCCTAACTTGTATTCTTTACAAACGATAAGGCAAATTCCTCCATTTCATTTTCTGCTAACCTCCTGATAACATAAATAGAATACTTGGTGAAGGACACAAACCACTATTAAAGAATAATGATTGTGTAGAGTGAGGGGAACTACATTGACTTTGAAAGAATACAGCAACCAATGGCAAGGTCATTTAAGTGAAGGCCTAGAGCTTCTGCAAAGTGTATATATTTTAGGGAGTCATATTTGGAACAATACATGCTGGACAGTAGAGCTATAGGAGAAGTAACATGCTAAGTCTTCTCATTGATAATATCCATAATTCTGCATACATTTTTTTTAACATTCTGTTTTAATTTGGATGTCTCTATACCATTCTTGATTTGTAGGACTACGTAGATCTATTTTCCCTCCCAAGGCAATTGTATTACGTTAATTTCTTTCCTAATGCTTTCCTAATACTTTAGTATTCCTAACTATGCATTTTCCCAGTCCTTACACTGAGTTGTTTTTGTTGTTGTTGTTGTTGTTGTTTTTTACTACTTTAAGCTCACACAACCCTGTGTGTTGGAACCATAGCTGTTAATTCTATATCCTTTCTCTATGCCCCTTGAAAATTCAATGTATCAACTTCCCTTCTGTGTTCTAGGAGACAGTTACTGTCAACTAGACTTATTAACAAGGATATAGAGTAACAAGCAAGCCACTGGCTTCATGAGATAATAAATTAGGAATTTCACATTCATGCCTCCCAATTTCTTGGTGAAGTTTGGAAAGTGCTACATACACAAAATTCTGGTAAGGTACAAAGGCAAAAACGATTTGCTTTGACCAATATCCTAGGATTTATTTCCTTGTGTGAAACCCCTTTTCTTTCTTTCCTGCTGCAAGAGATGGTACAAAACTCTTTAACACAGCTAGACATGCACCAATACTCTCCAAGCTGTGCACAATGAAAAATCAGACCAAATGATAAGTGCATATAACTTATTCATCCCTGCCCAAGCATGGCAATGACACAGAATTCTCAAAAGTAACCTCAGCCTTAGAACACATTTTTTTTTCTAAATAACTAAAAAAAATGAGATCCTGGATTAATTATTTTGATAAAAATATGATAATCTCCTAGGTGAATCTGAAACTCTTTATAAAGGAATAAAATCAGCTAATACTATTAAATTCAACAGAAGTCTATCTTTTGCATAAAATAATTGTAAGTAACAAATTCAAGAATAAAAGTTTAAACTTTTAAATGATTTCTGGCTTATACCATATGGGAATTAGAAGAATCTATAATTTGTACATGTTTAATATCATGGTAAAAAAAAATCCTGGAAACAGAATGTAATTATGTGTCAATTCCAGATGCCCAAAGAAAATTCAAATTCAACAGGAAGCACACATCACAGCATTATCCAAAGTTTAAGTTATTCAGGGTATTACATTGATTTGTAAGTTCAATTCTCCAAAACCCTTGTCATTAAGATAATAACTTTATTTCAAATTTATTATAGTTATGTTTTCATTATAATTAGCCTTCTATTAATAACAGCACAATGTTGTGGTGTCTTGATTTATTTTTTTCTCTTGATTTTATATGTGCTAATATTTGTGCATGTGCATTTTCTACCACATTGCAACAAGCAAGCTTTGGTTCAATTTCTTTGTCCTACACAAAGGAAGATTTTTGAGTGCAGAATCTTAGTCACTAGGTCCTGGGTTGCCATTTTATTTTCCTCTCCTTGGGTGGATTTATTGGAAGGAAATGGGAAAAGTAGGGGGGAGAAAGGGAAGGGATGAGAGAGGGACGAAGGGAAGAGTTCTCAGCTATGTTGAATCTTGATTCACGACTTTGCCTCCATTCATGGTTGGTGTTCCAGAACTTTTCCTTGAACGCCCTTGTTTTTCTCCAATTTCATGAAGTGATGGCTCTCTGTACATACACACTGAAAAGAAAAATTACATCAATTACTTATTATAATTCTGGACATCAATTTAGCTTCAATAAACATCTCAAATTACAATATCCTTCATTCCCATCACTAGCTCCTCTCCCCAGTGTAAAAATGAGTTTTAACTTGATAACATATTTCGTGGATTAAAATGGTCCTCTTTCAGTTCTACCAGTCATAGCCTTTTAAGTCTTTCTGAAATGTGGACATAGAGTGGTTTCTGTTCTCTTACAGATAAGGCTTGAGTCTTACCTGTCTGCTAAGCTATATAACAGGATTTTCATCTAGAGTTAGAGGAGACATTGTGAGTAGAATATTAAAAGGATAGAAATAGATACCTCTTTCAGTCCTTGGTCTGCAATCTAGCTTGCATAGAAAAAAAAAATCTTATTGACATGCTCCTAATCTTTACTACATGAAATATGACATTGTTATATCAAACTGAAATATTTACCACCAATTTTCAGGGCATCTGACACAGGAAATGATAATAGAAGGGAGGACAGAGGAAAACAAACAAACAAAATGCCGTTTTCCTGACTGTTCCAGGCTTGAATATGCAACTGTGTTGATTTTAGTTCACATCTATATACAACAGTTCCTTTCTCCTCTATTGTTTTGTCTGGCTCTAAAGCTCAGTCATCTCTGAATTTTCTTTTTCATCTTTGAATTTTCATGGCTATTGCTAGATTACTGCATAGAAAGAACAGTATGTTTCAACTCATAGTTACTCTTAAAAGATAAGATCTTCATTCCTTATATTGCTGTAAAATAAACAAATGTGTAAAAGTATATGAAATATTTCACTTAATCAGGAATTATTTGTATCCTTGACTTGGGAAAAAAATAGTAAAGTACCTCCATCTATGGAACCATCACTGCAGCTATAGTAATCTGCTATTTCTCATCAAATAGCTTCCTCACTTGGACTTTGTCCTGGTGCAGGAGACCTGAACATGCCTATGACCAAAGAGATGTCATGTGGTGGCGAAGAGCACCAGCCTGGGAGCCACACTACCTGGGTCTACATCCTCACTCAGCCACTCACTAACTGTCAACTTGGGCACACTTTCATAGCTAAAAAACTGAATTTTTATGAAGATTAAATGCCTGGCATATAGTAAGCATCCAAAGATGTTTAAGAAAATGAAGGAGGCGATCACTTCATGAGAATCTTGAATAACGGATTGCAAAGAACAAAGTGATAAGTTTGTTTTTTTTTTGTTTTTTGTTTTTTGTTTTTTTGGTTAAAGGTATTCTAAATTCAAAACTAGCTCAAGAAAATTAAGATACAAGAAATATTCTCTTTAGACTAGTTTAGTGATGAAGAGATTTTTTTTTTCCTCCAACATCTCAGTGGTTGAACTTTTTAAATGTTAGTGCTTTCGAATCATTCAAGGATATTGTTAAAATGCAGATTCTGATGTGGAAGGTTTTTGTGCAGTGGAGAGTCTACATTTTTAATAAGCTCCCAGGTGATGCTGATGTTGGCAAATGGAACCACTCTTTGAGTGGTGCAAAATATACATACAAACTAAGTTTGCCAAGTATATTGTCCACAATTATTACACATATTTATTTATTTTTATTTTATTTCATTTTTTACATATATGTTTTAAATGAGATGTTAAGGTATTTCAATTATTGCACTAAAGGGCCTCTCCAATATCCCAGAAGACCTTTGGCCTCAATAGCAAAACTGTAGAGAGGAAATGAATTCAGAAAGAATTGATGCTGTAGTTTTCAGATGATGCCAGTAGATAATTTAAGTTTCTGCTTTCTTTTATGAAAGACAGAAGATGCTTATGGACGATCATAAGGAAATCTTGAAATTTCTCAAGTCTAATGTCTTTTCCCTATATTTCTATTATGGGCAAAGTGTCAAAAATCTCCAAAATTAAACCATACATGTATAAAATATAGCTATTTATTTACAACTGGTAAGTGCACAAGGGAACTCAGAAGTAATTAAGTGATTCTATTAGAAAACTATTCACGTGATACCATAAAACAGTTTTTCCTACTCTGACACCTAGTCAGCTGTGAAAACCAATACATCCCGAGGCCTGACTACAAACTGCTAGCAAATTATGTATATATATATGGTGCCTGGGTGGCTCAGTTGGTTAAGCATTTGACTCTTGATTTCAGCTCAGGTCACAATCTCAGGGTCTTGGGATCAACACCCAAATTGGGCTCCCAACTGAGAGCTAAGAGTCTGCTTCAGATTCTCTCTCCCTTCTCCCTCTTTCCTCCACCAGCTCATGTGTGCACTCTAAGTAAATAAATAAATAAATAAACACAATAAAATAAATAAATAATTAATAAATAAATAAACACAAATAAATAAATGACACAAGTATGGATATACTTTGAGGATATTAGGCTTAGTGAAATAAGCTAGACAGAAAAAGACAAATATTTTATGACTCCATTTATGTGGGATACCTAAAGTAGTCAAATTCATAGACACAGAAAGGGGAACAGTGGTTGCTCAGGGCTGGGGAAGGGAGAATGTTACCATGTGTGCAAGTACAATGTGAATGTATTTAATGGCACTGAAATGCATACTTACAATGGGTAAGATGTTAAACTTCATGTTGTGTGTCTTTTACACAGCATTATTAATAATGACACTTTTAAAAAAATCACAGACACACAAATACCGAGTGTAAGCTATAAACAAAGAAATGATTCTTAAAGCCTGAAATGTCTTATTTGGATGGGAAGAGCCAACAATTCCCTAATAGACAAAAATATTAGTCTTAGTACTAAAGTTAAGATGGAGAGAACCGAGATATAACTGAGGGCGTAGAGAGTTGGTAAAAGGATAGGAAAATCTGATGAGAATAGCCTAGGAATGCACTGCCCAATACAATCCCCATTTTGCCTTTGTGATCACATAGAGCATTTAAAATGTGCTTAGTCCTATTTCAGATGTGCTGTTAAGTACAAAACACTAAATTTAAAGACCACACAAGAAGAACAAATATCTCACTAGTAATATATTAACTGGTTACAATTAAATAGATAATATTTTGGATATTTTGGGCTGAGTAGATTATTAAACTTTATGTCACATGTTCATTTTTATTTTTTAAATGTGAATACCAGAATACTTTAAATTACATATGTACCTCATATGATATTTCTACTAGACAGTTCTGCCTTAGAAGAGTTTGTTGCTGTCTGGAAGAGAAATGTCCTGACTGGAGCTAAAGCTATAAATAACTGAACGAGGGGAGGACAGTGGAGAAAATCTTCTGACCCAAGGGGTCCTGACGCTCATAGGTAGACAAGGGAGATGAAGAGCATCTTGGATGCCTTTAGTAGGATGGAACCGGTTCACAAAATATTTATTGGCCCTTTTGACTTGGCTTAACTAATGTTGTATCACTTTCATCCTAAAATGGACTTTCCCTGTTCTTTTCTCTCCTCCAATTTCAATTACTCTTTTGCAAACTAATATCCAAAGCTGAATTGGTACAAGCATTGATTTGGTCATTGAGTCTGTAAGCAGGTGCACATTTAACTTGTGCCAGGCACTCTGCTAGATTTCATAGCAACTGAGAGAGATGACCACTTGATTCCTGCCCTCACGGAGCTCAAGGCTAAGAAGGAGAACACAGACATGCCCACCAATCACAGGGTGTTCAGAGCCAGAGTAGAGAGGTGAATGGAAATGAGTACAGAACAATAGCTCTTTGATGCTGGTTTAGCCTTGAAGGAGGCAGAGGATTTAGAGGGATGGACAGACTACCGAAAGAGTGAAGAAATGAAGTGCATGTTATATAAGAAAAACAGGGACTGATTGAAGAATGGGGTAAAATAGAGAAGTAGGGAGGAATAAGCCTGGCAAGGCTAACTCATGTCAGACCTTCTGAGTTCCAAGCTGGAAGTTTTAAACCATGATCCTGATGTCTATCAGCCTCAATTTGATAAGGAATGAGGAGTTAAAAAATATGTCCATCAAGTACATAAGTGTATAGGGAAAATCTATTTATTCAATCTCGTTATATAGAAAAATGTCTAACTATGTTTGCATGACATGAATACAGCCAGTCATATTAGTCAGGAAGAATCAGTCAAACCGAATCTTACTGCACAGATCTTATAACAAATGGTTGGCAACATCTGAAACTTTCATGAGTTCTGATAGCTTGCAAACACAATTGTAATTTCTTAGACACAGACCTAGCTGAGGCACCATTATGTATGAGACCTGCTGCTTATCTAATATACATAATATCTGATATATTCTAAGTACAATAATGTTGACTACAACTGAAAAGTGGGGTTCACTTGGTCAAGCTAACTAACATGCTGGGAAGAGTTATCCTTTTGCTTTGTGGGGAGCTTAAGGTAGCACTGCAGAAGATTGAACAAACAACAAATGATAAATCAAGAATTACTAATCCCATTACTAATCCCATATATGAGCAATGCATATATTTTACAGTAAGAATTAATCACAATTTTATACAGGTACTAGTACTAGACTTTGGAGTTCTGGTATTAATTTCCAATCATATAAGCAACTGTGGGAAACTTTTAAAAAGCATGTCTAGGAGACTGCATAGGTTCTGAACACCAAATAGTTATATAAATTCTACAGCTCCCAAATCGTGCTTCTCCAATCAGCCCCGTATTATGCAAGATTACGGTTTTCTCCTCCTGCTAATCAGGTCCTTATAATAACTGCAATGACCTCTGGGAGATTTTCCACCACTTTCTATTACAATAAGCTATTATTTTATTAGGAATAGATTTATTTTGCTCTAGAAGGCTCTACATTAAAAAAAAAAAAAAGCCCTCTTTGTTCTTGAATATTTTCTTCTTGTGTCCTCTTATTATGCATTTGACCCATTTCAGCTAGGACGGCAGTTTGATATCCTAGTTCTTTTGATGGGGAGCAGTTTCCAGACTGGCAATAAAGCCAAACAAACAAACAAACAAACAAAAAATCTAACTTCCTGTATTTCTTGTTCTTCCAG